TTTTGTTTTTTTTTTTTTTTTTTTTTTTTTTTTTTTTTTTTTTGTAGTTGATTTGATGGTGGTGAGAGAAAAAGTGAAACAATTATTGGCTGAATATGACATTTTGTCTTTCTAATTATTTTAACATATTTTGTCTTTATTGACTATTTTAACCCAAATAGCTCAACTCTATCCTTACCCAACCATAATTTTGAACATGTGATTTACCATAGTAGTTTGTTGAGTCAAATTTGTTAAAGTTAAAATCTATCTCCTAATCTAAACCGTTCATCTCACATAACAAATGAAAATAAACATGCATGCAAAAAATTAGAATAAGCAAACATAAGTATTCACATGATCAAATCATATATACATTATAACAAATGAATGATCAATTCTTAAAAACATGCACGTTGTATAAATAAAAAATGATATGATGATATAACAATCTATATTTGTTGAATTTAATATTTTGCATAGATAATTTTTTCAATTAATTATATAAGATGAACAATTAGATTTAAATTACCAAAGTAAATCAAAACTAGTCGCTTTAAACTTTCACAACGATATTGAAATCTTCAAGTATAACATCTGTAGTTCTTGTTGTTCCACGTCCTCAATGCAACTTGTTTTCCCATGATGTGTACGACTCTCATATTTCACAACCACCCTCTTATTATATGTCCCAGTTCACTACAAGAACAGTCACTTTTGGCGACTAAATTTTTAGTCGCCAAAAGTCTGTTTTTAGTCGCCGAAAGTCGAAATTTGACTTTCCCCGACAAAATTCTTTAGTCGCCACATTTGTCGCGTATACGTTGTCGGTGTAGGCATTGGCGACTAATATTTTTTTAGTCGCCAAAAGACAGGTCTTTCGCGACTAAAATGTTAGTCGCCAATAGTGTTTTAGCCTTTTGAAAATCATACATTTACCGACTAATAATTTAGTCGCCAATACTCAATCAATCGCCGACTAAACGGCTTAGTCGCCAAATTTTGACATTTACACTTGACTAATTTTGATTCTCTCCATTCATAATTAATATTAGAAAAATGATATACAAACTCTTTTTAGATCTATTTTCTAGACGCAATGATATGTAAGTGATATGACTAGTTGATAATTATAAAATATGTAAGAGGGAATGTTGTGTTTAATATCTTAATTAATTATCATATTATTGAATTTGAAAATGGATCTAATTTTTAATCTTGAATAGTAATCTCTTAATACTAACAAAATCTCATAACTAAATACTAACAAAATGCAGAATTAGCATTAACAAAATCTCATAACCAAACACTAACATAATTCATAATTAATACTAAAAATGCTCATAACAGCATGTAATACACCCCTTTTAACAAAGAACCTACCATAAAATTTTGGGGGACTTTTGTATAGGTCATATTAAGTGGACTTATTATCAAATAAGTCATGTGATAATTAAATTCGTTTTCCATCAAACACTATTAAAAACATTACTAATTGTTAATTTTTAGTAAGAGTTTGAAAATTTTGTCACAAAAACGTTACTAATAAATTTTAACGACAATTTTAAAAAATTGTCACAAAAAAAAACCACTCATTTTCAACTTTTAGCAACAGTTTGAAAAATTCATCACAGGAAAACGTTGCTAATTGCAAGTTTTAATGATAATTTATAAAAATCGTAACAAAAAAAATATTACTAATTGTCAATTTTTAGTGACAATTTGAATTAACTTTCAATAGGACTTAATATAAATTAAATCTAATTATTAGGATTTATTAGTAATTACCTTAAAAATTTTCCTATATAAAGGGATGAATTAGACTAATAAATCAATACCCACTTCCTGTTTTCTTTCTTTTCTCTGAACCCTCGTACTTGTTTCTCCTATTTCACAACAAAACAAAACCAAAAAAAAAAAAATGGAGCGATTGATATGGTTCCAATTCCTTTTGTATTTCATGCAATATCATCAGGTTTCTTGTTCATCATCTATATCTTCTTTTTCTACTTGTACACATCATTTGTGTCCACATGACCAGAGGTTTGCATTGTTGCAATTCAAGCATATGTTTACGTTTACTTTAAACAACTCTAGCTATGCTTCTCTTCGGTGTGAGCATTTGGATTTGGCTTCTCCAAAGATGTTATCTTGGAACGAGAGTTGTACTGATTGTTGTTCGTGGGAAGGAGTCACGTGTGATGGTCTGACGGGTCACGTGATTGGGCTTGACCTTAGTTGTAGCCAGCTCTATGGCAGTATCCATCCTAACAGTAGCCTCTTCCAACTCTCTCACCTTCAACACCTCAATCTCGCCTTCAATGACTTCAATTACTCCCACATTCCATCAGCATTTGGTCACTTTGCCAGTTTGACACATCTCAACCTATCTCATTCCAGTTTTGCAGGCTCAATCCCATCAGAAATTCACCACCTGTCCAAACTAGTTTCACTCGATCTCTCCTATGGCCATCAACTAAGACTTGAACCGCACAATATCAGAATGATGCTCAAAAACCTAACCCAATTGCAAAAACTTGCCCTTTCTTATGTAAACATCTCTTCAGTTGTACCGATGTCTTTGACGAATATGTCTTCTTTGACATATCTCGATCTTATTTCCACCGGGTTGTATGGAAAATTACCGGATAGCATTTTTCACTTTCCAAACTTGAAAATTCTCTTTTTAGGAGACAACCATGATCTCACTGGTAATTTACCCAAAGTAAACTGGAGTAGTAGTAGTTCCCTCCAGCAGTTGTATCTCGGGTTTTCGAGTTTTTCTGGAGAATTACCTGATTCAATTGGCTATCTCAAGTCATTGAATTTCTTGCATCTTGCCAATTCCAAATTCTCCGGGTCCATTCCTGATTCATTTGGGAACCTTACACAGATCATTGCTATATACTTAGGGGGAAATAGTTTCAACGGTCAGGTCCCATTTACTCTCTCAAATCTTAATCAACTCATTCACTTGGATCTCCGTCGTTGCGAATTCTTTGCCCTTTCTTATGTAAACATATCTTCAGTTGTACCGATTTCTTTGACCAATATGTCTTCTTTGACATATCTCGATCTTACTTACACCGGGTTGCATGGGAAATTACCGGATAGCATTTTTCACTTTCCAAACTTGCAAGTTCTCTTTTTAGGAGACAACCATGATCTCACTGGTAATTTACCCAAAGTAAACTGGAGTAGTAGTAGTTCCCTCCAGCAGTTGTATCTCGGGTTTTCGAGTTTTTCTGGAGAATTACCTGATTCAATTGGCTATCTCAAGTCATTGAATTTCTTGCATCTTGCCAATTCCAAATTCTCCGGGTCCATTCCTGATTCATTTGGGAACCTTACACAGATCACTGCTATATACTTAGGGGGAAATAGTTTCAACGGTCAGATCCCATTTACTCTCTCAAATCTTAATCAACTCATTCACTTGGATCTCCGTGGTTGCAAATTCTCCGGGTCCATTCCTGAATCACTCGGGAACCTTACACAGATCAATTATATATCCTTATGGGGAAATAGTTTCAACGGTCAGATCCCATTTACTCTCTCAAATCTTAATCAGCTCATTTCCTTGGATCTTTCTGGAAATAATCTCCGTGGAAAAATTCCTAATTTTATCGGTAAGCTGATAAAGCTGGAGTTTTTAGGACTTGGAGATAACAATTTCAATGGTCCATTTCCATGTGGGGTAGCCAACCTGACAAAACTTGGTTATTTAGATATGTCAAGTAGTGAACTGACGGGTCCCATTCCCTCCAACGTTAGTAGGCTACACAACCTAGAATCACTTTACTTGCACAATAACTCACTGAATGGGACACTACCATCTTGGTTGTTGAATCTTCCGTCATTGACAGACTTATACCTGGGTAGTAATCTACTAACTGGCCAAATTCCTGAGTTCCAGCATAAATCAAAATTGATGAGCATTGACTTGAGTCATAATGAACTACATGGCACCATTCCACAATCAATTTCAAATCTTGTGAATTTGACCCAACTTTATCTTTCGGCAAATAATTTTAGCGGTATTTTGGAGCTATAAACATTCTCAAATCTAAAAAATCTCTACTATCTTGATCTTTCATGCAATAGTCTATCAGTAAGCACCATTAGCAATATCGACAATACCTTGCCTAAGCTTAGGTTATTCTATATGACTTCTTGTTCACGAACAAGTTGCAACCAAGAAGCTTCATATTTGTCATATTCCCACTACTGATCAAATTGCAGACATTTTCACTAAACCATTGTCTGTGGCTTGATTTCAATATCTTCAAAGCAAACTCGATGTCCTTTCCAGTCCCCTGAGTTTGAGGGGGAATGATAAGCCAGCTACAGCCAAGGCCACAACTCAAAACAAAGCTGCAAGAGTCACAAGAAGAGTCACGAGAGCTACAGCCCAGGCAGCAGCCAAGGCCACAGCGCAGACCAGAGCTGCAGCAACAGCCAAGGCCACAGCAACCACATCCAAGGCCACAGCTCAGAACAGAGCTGCAGCAGTTGCAGCATCAGCAGCAGTCCCAATATCAAGCACGTGTGTATTCCAAAGCAAGTTGTAATTGAGTTGTTAGTTTGTTAGAGATTAACTATAGTTTGGTAAAGTAGTTATAGTCAGGTTAGGTAGTTATGGTTAGGTTAAACAAAGATTATTATATTTGTATAAAAAGGCTAACATCACTGTAATTGAATTCATTGAATAAAAAATACTATATCTCTAATTCTCTTTACATGGTACTTGTTTCTTTTTTCTGGTTCTATATCTTTAAAAGTTTACTATCTAATTATAGAATAAGTAAAAGGTTATATATTATATATATTCTGCTAGGGGTCCTGCCTAATGCACATGTGGTTCTTTTTGTGCATGAGTAACACTATGAGCAATTAACTCAAGAACCAACAGTTTTATAGAATTGTTTCATTGACCACAACCAAAACCAAAATTAATAAATAAAATATATGTTTTGTTGTGATTAGGTATTAAACCATGGCTAATGTTAATGCAGTTAGCTTCAAAAACTAGTTTTGTATTGAAATAAACTGTATGATTGGATTTTCCACTACAACATATAAGAATTTTAGAGACTAAATTTTTTGATCTCTGAAAGTGAAAATTTTGCTGTAAAAAACATTTAGGAACCAATTTCTATTGTCGTGAGAATAGTCGTTAAAAGGTCCTCATGAAAAGTAAAAAATAAGACTTGTAGGGACAAAATAATTTGGTCTTAAAATGGTTTATTTTTTGAGACAAAAAATTTAGTCCCAAAAGGATAAAATTCATCGCTAATGTCTAATTTTCGTTGTTTAAAATATAATAATGACACTTTTTGCAACAAAAATATTTGGTCCCTAAAAAATAAATTTGTCCCTAAATTTTGATCTCTAAAATCTGAATTTTTTGTAGTGTTCTATTGGTCAATCTTGATATATTTTCCCAAATAGTTTCACCAGATTACTACAACTTTGTTTTCCTCAATTTATGCTACACATCCTGATCATCTTTTTTACTGAATCAAATCAGGAAATAAGTATTTTGATGGAATAATCAAATTCCATTTCAACATTTATTTCACTTAATCAAATACTAACTTAGATACCAAATGATATGTAAAGTTCCAAGTGCTTGCTAGTTTTAGATTTAGGGCCTGTTTATTTGTGTGAACTTGGCCGTAGGATTGGACTAATAATCTAAAAATGCATAGATACATAGTATCCTTCGTACAAAATAAAGGACTGAGGAGAGGTTCGGACTATCAATTTTATCGTATAATCCTGTACCAATAGAATATACAATCCAAAACGATTAATAATCCTAAACTGTCCCAATAATGCTAATTCCATAAATCCAATCCACTCAAACAAACATATTACATAATTTAAGGGAAAAACCATTCGATTCAAGCTATCCTCCAATCTATAATGTGCATTTGTAAGTCATAGTAGCAATCTGCATGCCACATATAACTAACTGCATGACAAAATGTAAATAAAAGTTATTCTAGTTAATTTTGTGACCAGCAGTTAAATACAAAGTAGAAATACAAAAGCCCTATTTCATGACCCTATTTGAATATTGGCCAATGATAATTTGTGGATTGACATGGTGATTATGGTTTATAACTATGACTCTCATTATGTATTTTGTTTGTACTGTCTAATTTATTAAAGGCTCTCTATTGTCTTATTAACTTTTAAATATTTCTTCAAATTTAAAATTTAAACACAACCTCACCATCTTTGTGATATTGATATTGTTCACTTTGGGTCTGTGGACCATCAAGGTATGCTTTGGATCCGTGGACCATCACCATTTTATCTTTATGGCCTCTTACAAAAGACTTCACATAGTTCAGTATAGGTTATTCCATGTATGGTTGGTCAGACTAGTAATATCTATCTAATATGGGACTGGGTCACACATGTTGAAACTGAATACATGTTGCCTACGCATTTATTTTTGTTTTTGGGTAAAATCTATTTCACCTCCATGTGGTATGATTCGATAGCATTTTACTTTCCTGTGTTTTAAAAATAGTTATATACCCCCATGTGGTTATGGACTAAAATGCAACCTTAACATTATTAATGTTAATAATGAAAATATAATTATACCCTTTATGTCTTCTTTTTCTATTTTTGACTCTCTTTGTAAATAAATAAATAAATAAATAAATTTACCTCCATGACTAAGCAAAAAAATTAAATACATAATACAAAACTATTTTAAGAAACTACAGTTCCCTAAATATTTTTTTTTAATAAACTTCATTTTTAATTTTAATTAATTTATGATTTAATTTTTTGAATATATATGTACATGTTTAATTTGGAATTTTATGAAATAATAAATTGAGCTAAAAATTAAAAATTAGATTACATGACTTTATGATTTTTATTTTGTTATATATATATGTATTATGTATATGTTTAATTTAAAATGTTATTAAATAAGGTAATTTTATGGTAATAAAAATTGAAGTAATTTGCTGATTAATTTTTCTGATAATAAATTAAGGTGTTTAGGTTAATTTAATTATATATATATATATATATATAATATGTATGTTTAATTTAAAATGTTTTTCTTTTTAGATAGTAATTTTTAATAACATTTAAAATAAGAAATTTAGATTTTAAATATAAAACAAACAAAAAAAACAAACAAACAAAAAAGTAAAACAAGGCTAGATTCGTTTTCTTACACGGAAATTTAATTTTGATAATTTTTTTTCTTTCCCCACTTTCAAAATAAGAATGTGAGACACACTCTCTTTTAGTTTGGATGGAAAATATAACTATAATACTTCAGTCCAAAATATGTGGTTATTTTTAAAAGATTGGAGGTAAAATGCTATTAGGTTATATCATAAAGTGGTAAAATAGATTTTACCCGTTATTTTTTTGCATAAAACTTGAATTTTTTGCCTATTATCCACTCTTCATTATCAATAATTTCTTAAATTTCATGCATTTTATTTGCGATTTCATGTTACCTCATCATTTTCCCAAATTCTTATAAACAAAACATTTGAACTCACATGTTTTTCTCTCTAAACTATTGCTGCAGGTTAAGACAGAACACCATTATTGCTATTGTAACATATGATAATTTTGGAATAATGAAGTGGTGGTTAAGGTAGACATGGACAAAGTTTAGGCTGATATTTGATAATATTGTTGTAAAAGTAGATTGAGTGATTGTCGTATGGTACTATTTCTCATGTTGGCTTGATTGTGTACTATGTTCTATGTTTGTGATTGCTTCTTCTTCTTCTTTTTCATTTTCTCAATGAGTATATATTTTATTCAATTTTTTTTTATCATTAGTATAGCGACCCCGGTCTTTTCCCATTTAATTATTGTATCTGGACTGTTCCGTAGATTCTGTCCTTGTATAATGGTTGTTGTTGTTATTCCTTATTTTCTCATTTGGAATTATAGGATGTGTTGGGCAGGTTTGTTTCAGGTTGGTTGGGTTTAGAAACCAAGAGTTGCTGTCCAGGTTTTTGGTTCTTCGCTCGAGCGAGGAGTTTCTCGCTCGAGCGAGAGGTAGTGTTTGATTTGGACCTGTAGCTGTGCATTCTTGGCTCGAGCGAGCTTTTCTTCGCTCGAGCGAGTTAGTTCATCCTTCGCTCGAGCTATAGTTCCTTCGCTCGAGCGTGTGTCTGGGTTCAGACCTGAGGGTATGAGTTCTTCGCTCGACCGAGCTTTCTTTCGCTCGAGCGAGCATTTGAGTTGTTGGCTCGAGCAAGGCTTCCTTGGCTCGAGCGTAGTTTCTCTGTGTCTGGTCGCTCGAGCGACCAAGTCTTCGCTCGAGCGAGCCTGTCCAGTTTAAATACACAACAGCGGGATTTGATCAGTCTTTTTCATTTTCTTTTGATTCCAAACCCTAGGTCCGACTTCTCTCTCTCCCTACTCACCTTCTTTCTTAGATTTGATCCACTTAGGGTGTGTTTCTACCCTAGATCCTTCATTAAAAAGATAGAGTGAGGCAAGGGCTACCATTTAATCTGAGCATTTGACGATTTGGAGCACTTTGGTATTTGGGCACTCATCTCTTTCTTCACCTTTTGGGTTGTTTTCTTTGAGGTGGGGATTTCCTTAAATGGCGTAGTTGGGTAATTGGAATCATTTGTCTATTGAATTGTTGTCATAGTTATTTTCAGTTTAGAAATAGCTGTTTTGGGCTATCGGTGGAGGATAGTCGTGATTGTTGTAGACAATGCGTGTGGATTAGGATTAACTGAAACTAATCACATTGGTTAAGTCATTAATTTTGACTATTGCATTGATACAGAAAATACTTGTATTGATTGAGCATTGCATTTGCATACATTGTTTGTGTGTGGGAGGAGGTAGGGGATGTACTCCACGGTTTAGGGGAAGATAGGGGATGGACCTCTAAACCGGATTTTGTTTGGGAGGAGATAGGGGATGGACTCCATTAGCATCACTTTTATGTGTGCTTATTTATATTGAAGTGTTTTGATTTGAGCTTGAGTCTCATTTGTTTGTTGATATTGGAAGG